AATATAGAAGCCTTCAAGTTCAGTGCTTTTTTAGCTTGAGTTTTCACTCTATTCTAACATGAAAAACATGAAAACTAATTTTATACTCCTTGAGGTGAATTTTTTAAAACAAAAAACAAAATAGACTTGAAGTTCTACATTTCATTATTTCTCTTAGCTCTTTCCTTAAGGGCAGGTTGCAGTATGATGCTGACATACTAGTAGCATTTAGGGACAGGTTTTAGCCACAAATTGGCTATATTTGTGTATAGTATGGATGCTTATCACACTGCATCCATGATAGCCATACGTTCTTGCTTTGAGGTTAATGAAGGTGTCATTAACCATCACTCTATCCCTTCAAAATGAACTTACAAACAAGTTAATGATATATCTAAATTCAATTTTTGTTTTAGAAGTTCACTTAGAAAGCAAATGGGATTGTTGTCTGAGAGGTTTTCTACAATAGCTGTCCCTGTTTGGTGGGCAGGTTTACAGTACAGGTGAACCAAAAATATTCCTTGGATTGTCTCTTAGGATCTACTCAAATAATTCTGCCCAATGCAGTCACCTATGCTAAGACTTCTGCATTGCAGTCAGTGCCAGAGCTGGTATGAGAGGGATCCTTAAAAATCTCTGTAGAAGCATTCTGTGGGAAAAGTAAATAGAACTGATGTGATGTTGTTGGCAGTAGCAAATCTGTATCTGTTTGTTTCTTTGGAGATTTTTGTTTGTTTATTTTTACAATATTTGCAACTTTGTCTGAGGGGGAGGGAGGTTGAGACAGTGTCTCATCACATAATTCCTTCCAACAGCAACTAAAGCCCAGCAGTAATCGCAGTTCTGTTACCGAGATACCACACAGAAACGTAAACAAACTTTAATGTCTGCCTTCAAGAACAACTGCTGCATCCACATGAGTTAGAGGAAAACAGTGTGAAAAAAGGGAAGCTATGTTTCTCAGCAAATTGCCTCGTCCTTTTCCAGCGCACCAGGAGCTTTTTAAACACAAAAACAGAACAAGTAGACTCTGGTCGGCCAATCAACACACCTAACAGTAAATATAACTATTACAGAGTGAAATCAGCTACTTTTTTTTTTCCATATTAGACTTGAAAAGGTGGTGGACATGGGAAGAAATGCTTTTTCTAAGGCAGGAAGTTGTCCCAAGCAGTGCTGCCCTCCTACGTGCCCTATGTTAGTTATGGACCTCAGAAAGGCCTGCAGAGACCAGTTCCTAGAGAAGATGGGATGAATGAAATCCCCAGTCCTTGAAATATGTACACTAGCTTGAGTCTACCTCACTGCACTAAAATGGTGTTCCAAGTTCTTGCTCAGATACTATCAGGCAAGAGAGGCAGCAGCCTGTCCAGATATTCTTCATCCTTTACTAGTGTTTGACAAGGGTGTTTTCTCCACTTCAGAGCAGTATTCTTAGTCTCATGTTGCAAAAAAACCTAGTTAAACAATTCAGAGTCCTCCAGAAAGGGAAAGAAGGCACTTATGTTATCTATCTCCCCCACCAACTCTGAAAGTTTACCTGGTCCAGGGATGTCCCTAACATTACTTCTAGGAAGGGGGGAAAGATCTGTAGGTTGTAATGATTCTCACTGAAATAAATGTAAAATAAGAGCACTATCTTCCCACCAGCACAAGCCTGTCAGAGAAGAAGGAAGAAACCTTCCTGTTCTAGGTGTATGCTTTCCAATCTGTTTACAAAATAGTAATTGAACTGATGGCTCCTAAGGTCTGAATTAGACTTAGAGTTCCTGCAGCTACTTCAGCAACTTCCTTCTCACTACCATCCACATCTTCTGTGGCTGGTTGGTGTCACACTAACACAATATTCTTTGGAGGATCTCATTCCCTCCAGCAAAGTGAGTTTTGTCATGACCCATGTCTCCTCTCTTTACTTTCCAGTGTTCACACAGAGGTTCCGTGAATGCAGGTTCCCAGAGCATTTTGTGTTTGCCTGCTGCACTGAAGAATGCAGCTTCTGGAGTGGCTCGTAGCATCATCTGATGGCTCCACTTACACAGCCCAGAGAGATAGGGTGCAGGAAGTGACACTGCAAATTCATTGCTACTATCCTAGGAGCATCACTGCAGGGGGGAAGTCCTAGACAATTGCTGCTGTAAGGGTAAGCTTTGTGAGGTGAAATAAATCAATGAATAATTACTGGCTCTGATGGCGGTGGCAGCCAGCAGCACAACTAAGAGGGTGAGACAGGCAGCAGCACTAATAGACTGGGGAAATCCTGTCTTGACAGTTTTCAGTCTACTCCATTTCTTTCAGCAAATAAGATGCATCTATTTGCCTCCAGCTCTCAGCAGACAAAGTAAACAGTCATGCTACAGGAGGTCATGGTGTGACTTCATGTGAGTAAACTGAACTACTCTGAAGCAATATGCATTTTCCAGTGAAAGGGCACCCAGGACAACATGTGCTGAGGGTAGCTAGCAAATGCCACAGAAAAGGAATGTCTCAGCACTAAGAGCAAAACAGGAAACACCAAGTATAATTGTCAAGGTGCAACAAAACAGTGAACACTAGAGCCAAAATAAAATGACCTATTCTCATTTAAACTCCTCTCCCCTTCCTTCTTCAAAAAATATCTCCAAAATTTCTGCCATATTTTTTTCCCCCCTCACTTCACCATGTCCACTTACCACTGTAAATGTAACAAATATCTGGAGTCAGCCACGAGGATTCAGTATATTCCTGACTTTCCCAAGAAAGAATGAGAGCACAGATCAGAAATCCATTCTGTCTGCAGCGTCTTGTCTTTTATATGCTGGTTAATAGGATACATCAGTACTCTCTTATTCACATGTATAATAATAAGCTGCTTGATTTGAAATTCCCATTTTGCTGTATGCCAGCCATAAGTTTCAAGGAAATTGAGCTATTTAGCTTTTAGATTTCATGGTAGTCCAGATACAAAAAGCTTCTCCTCCTGTATTGCATTAATTTATCTACCATAATTTATGTGTCTTCCTTTTTTTAAGTGGCTGATACAGTGTCAGTAGCTGTGGATCTTGATAACTAAACTTGTGTATTGATTATTGATTACAGAAAATCGTGTTTTCTATGAAAAACGAAATAACGTTTGATTTTATACTGAGATTGTTTCAAATTTAGAACTGAGATACATCCTGCCTAGCTTGTGACACTGAATTTCCTCAGCTGAGAGTTTGTCCTTAGGTGTCTGTTTAATTAAAGAAAATAAATGTGTGCCTTGAAAGAATGGTCATGTCAAGTCAGATCAAGAGGAGTGTATTACTTCCATTTATACCAGAGCAAAACTAGGGAGAACTTGCTCTCCCTATACACTCAGGATGAAACCTTCAAATGTGGCTTCAGCAGAACTGTTTAGTGCTCCACTAGTCCCATCTGATCTGAGGCAGTTTTTGTTCCACAGTTTTCTTTTTTTTTTTTTTTTCTGAGATGAATTAATATTGACCACTGATTTCTGATTGTGGTAACTAGCTGTCAAGGTGAAGGGCTATATCTGTTTCGTTAAATGAAACAGTGCCATGAAATGTCCTTGGTATGGCAGCTCAATCCTTTGCACATTCAAAGTGCTAGAGCAGTCCCTGGCATCGTCTGGGACCTGGCAGGCTGGCTCCCTTCCAGGAAGATCTGGACATGGTTCAGGAAACTACACAGGCCAGGGACTATTCACAGTAGATGATTTGGATGCAACCTCTCTGCTGTGGAGGGCAAGAAACTGTAATAGCACAGATATGGGTCTCTTACCATATGCCTCAGGGCCAGAGAACAGTTATGATCATTTTTGAATAACCAGATTAGAAAAAGCAAGAGTCCCTCTATATTTACCCTGTATTAGGGGTCCCTTGGTGCTTTGGACGTGCTGCACAAAGCACCCAAGGTAAGCATGAATGTGATCCAAAACCTGATGAAAGCAGTGGAGTCTTTCTGTTGTTAATGATGAGTTTTCAGTCAGATTGTAAATGAACCCTAAATGTTATAAGGAGAAGTATTTGGAAAAAAACATGGGGACAGAAATACATTATGAATATATCTCCATTTAAAGAAAGGAGAGCAAAGCAAGGGCTTTGACAGAAAAGAAAAATACAACCCAACCAGGTGAGTTACTGCTGGGCCTTTAAAGCATACTAGTTTTTCATGTCTTGCTGCACAAACAGTCTGTCATGATTCCACCTAAATGCTGATAGCAATCATTGATTTATACTTTGCTTTAGACTTTGTTAAATAGGCTAAATGTATAATTTCTGTAGAAAACTAATAGCTTCTCAAAATATTTCAGTATTGCAATTTAAGCTGTCATCTGAATAGAGCCTGTACTGGCTCATTTTCTAATTTGGTGAAAAAGCATTAATTCAGCCTAAATGCTGCTTATGAAATAACTATGATGTTTGGGATCATACATTTTATGTTTGAGGGAAAAAAGAGCTTTATAATCGGATATTTGAAAGTCGTGGCTCAATTAAAAGAGTTTAAGTTATTCTTTTGACAAAAAGTTCTATCACAGACTTTCTGTGTATTGATTTCTTTTAAAAGTGATATAATGACTCAAAAAGGGGGGGAAGCAAATACATTAATTTCCATAATTGCCATATTCTGAATTCTTTTTTACATAAGTGAAATCCTGTCCATCTGGTGCATTATGACCTTGTCATGAGTTTTAAACTTGGTCTCTTCCAAGAACTTTAAGGATAACAAGCAAATGTGGATTTCATGAGCTGCCTCTTTTGCATACTGTTCCTATTACACTTTTCAAGTAATGTTGATGTAATTAATTATGTATTTGTTGGAATATGGAGCTTGTTTGTAAGGAAATAACTGTTACACTTTGATTTGTTATACTCTGATTAAAAGCACTGTATATATGATTGTTTCCAGCTAGTAACTAGCTGAGGGGCAAATGATGCCCTCCATCCAAATATCCATACATCCTTGTAGTCTATACATAGTCATTAACTGCAAGATTAGTCAGCGTAGAACTTGTCTGAGTCAGAGCTATCTTTTCGGCAAAGTCACTTTACTGAAATAATAGTCCAAATGCTGTTCACTTTTGCAGAGTCTTTAGGTTTTCACTTAAAAGTTGTATTCCTTTTATAAACATGAACTCCCACCATGCTCTTACAGCTGATAGCTCTCTGTAGCTAGTCTCTTGCAAGTAGGTATGGATGACTCTTCAAATAACATCAAATACTAGCTGGAAACTGTTAGAGATGCTGTTACTTTAAAAAAAAATATTGAAATCTGGTAAGTAATCCATCCATCTATCAAGAACAGCAGATCACAAGTCTGAACAAAATCTAACATTCAGCATGTTGGTGAAAATGTTCAACCATAGTAACCATAGTGCGTTTCTTGCTGTCTTCTAAAGTATTTCTGATAGTTTCAGAAAGTCAATAAGGGATAAGAGAGCACTGCATATATGCATATCTACAGGATTTCATGGCAGCAGGGGCAAGTTGACATTAATGTGGAGAAAAGTCCAAATTTCTATGTTAGGTGACAAAGAAAACATGAGGGTAAAAAAAATGGTCTGCATTTCAGACCAATACTTGACAGGTAAAATAGGAATCAGTAGGAATTTTAAATAGAAATATTATGATAAGAAGTCAGGAAACACCTTCATTATGCTCACAGATATTTTGGATAGTGAGGAGGCAGGACAGAGAGGGATACCCCTGCACCGAAGATCAAGTCAGGGCCTTCTGGCATGTCTAATGAAAAAGCAAATGCATAGTACTGCAGCTGGGAAGGTATTACCTCTTACAGTGATATAGGCTGGGATCAGGCTGTCTGAGGAGCAGCCCTGGGAAAAGGGTGCTGGGGGCCCTGGGAGCTGGGAGCCGGGCAGGAACCGTCAGTGAGACTTAGTGTCAGAGACAACCAGCAGCATCCATGGCTATGGCCTCCACTGAACCCTCTCCAGTAGCTCCTTGTCTCTCTTGTACTGAGGAGCCCGGAACTGGACATAGTAAATGCTCAGGGCTGAAGTGTGGTTCTGTAAGCACAGACTGGGGAGGGGATGGAGAGGAGGCAGCCGGGCCCTTCACAGCCGTGCATGGCAGGGCAACAAGGTACAGCAGGCAGGAACTGAAATGAGAGGGGTTCACTGTGGGTGCTGAAACCTTTCCCATGAGGACGGGCAGGGCAGGGGCTGGCAGACAGAGAGACTGCACAAGGAGGTTGGGCAGTCTCCATCCTGGGAATTACAAGACCTGGCTGAGCAAAGTTCTGAGCAACCTGGTCTGACCTCACAGCTGGCCCTGCTTGGAGCAGAGGTGCACAAGGGACCTCCCGAGGTCCCTTCCACCCTGAATTTCACAGTCATCTTAGGTTAAGTTTTGTGTCACTGGGACAGTACACTGCTTACACCTGACTAAAGCATCCTCTTATTATCCTATTTATAGAAAAGATTCTCTTCAGAAAGTCACCCATTTTACACAAAGTCCAAAATAAATGAACAGTACTTTTTTGCTAGACTTACACTCTGGCTTCTCCAGTAGTCTGTTAGAAGTTTGCCAACATAGGCAGTTACACTTTTTCTGTAGACTCACATGAATCTGCTCCAAAAAGGAGCTGAAGATGCCTATATATAGGAAATTAGTTCAAGTACCTTTATATAATACAGATTATTTTGAAATAAAATATAGGCTTTTTTTCCACCCCTGAGACCAGTTAAATAAGGCACTATGAAATATATTTTCTCTATATAGTTTTCTGTTTAGAAACTAAAGGTGTGAATTTCTTATAATGACTATAGAGCACATGGGATAACAGATTTCTGTCTAGATAGCTGTCCCAAAAGATATGCTGCATATATGTCCACTACTTATTTCTGCCAGTTTAGGATGATATTTTAGCTCAATAGTATCTATCCACGATATTTTTTGGTATTTCTTCCTACAGATACAAAGGAGAAAAGAGAACTATTTTTTTTTTTCCAAGAGCCCTCCATGAATGCCACAGAAAGGTATCAATGTACCTATGAAACAAAAGGCATCTACAAACAGAAATGCAGGAAAAAGTCTACTTGCTCATTCGCAAATGAATTGCAGTTGTCAGGCAAATCAGTAAATCTTTTGGATATCAAGAAAAATAAGGATCCCAGCCACTTCCCCTGAGATTCTTTATGTAAAAGGTGGCACAATAATTATGTAGGTAGATTATGATCTATAGGCAACTGCACTGACTACTAACATCTAAAAGTGACATTTCCTTTTCAGACAAATTTAAAATGAGCTGCAAAGATGCATTTTGCAGTCAACTTGCTTTTAAAAAAAATAAATCAGGCATGCTCTTATAATTGTACTGTATGCATTTTCCAGCTCAAACTCTGGTTCTACCTCCTCTCCCAAGTCCATTACTGTGGGTAAAGCCAGCCTAATTTTTTAAATGCGTAGCACATTTACCTAAAGATGCATTTTATGAAACAGTGCCACTGAAACAATCCAATCAGATCTGGCAAAAAATAATGATCAGAGAATGAGGGCAAGAAAGGGAGGGGAAAAAAAAAAACCAACACCCAAAACAACCAAACATTGAAATGTTTATTCTAACAGCTTGAAAATTAGTTTTTTGACTTTTTAAGACGGTTTTTTTGGTTAGACAAGGAAATCTTAAGAAGAATTAGAGTTAGATAACTGAAATCTAAACCAAAATAAGAAAGCCCTTTTGAAAGAAGTGAAACATTTTGAGTTAACCAGGATGAATTTATAGTTTTCATTTCATTAATTAATTTTTTAAATGTTGGCACTTTGTAAATGAGGTGGATTTTTTTTCAATTCAGGCATAAAAATGAAAAATCAACCACACAACTTTGGCTTGGAAAAATCTGCAGGTAAAGTATCCATTACCCGGTGAAAAAATGTTTTTCCTTCCCCTTGAAAAATGTTCATGTGCTCAAGATTCATAAGAATATATCATATCTTTGGGAGAGCTGAGGATGTTATTGGAAGTATGAATGAATGCTGTAATGTTGGTTTTAGTAGGTAGTCTTTTGACCTCTGTTGGTTCCTGCCATCATTATGACAAAGCTTAAATAAACACAACTAAAATCAAGGAATAACTCTTTGACAGCTGTCATAGAAGAGAAACTTCCATTTTAGAGTGTTACACGAGGACCTCTGCACCCAGGTCAGCCATAATACATCAGCCCCACACCTAAGGCCAGCTCTCAGAGGGGATGGAAAGAGTTTGCAAAACTGAAACAGAGCATTGAATTCAGCTTTGTCTTCCATGAATCAAGCCTGACTATCACAAGGAAAGAATATGCATATATGTTCAATACAAAAAAAATGAAAATAGCCAGGGATACGAGTATTGTGGGGGGGGGGGGGTCCCTCTTACTATCTCCATCCCTTCACAGTCTTGCCTTCCGGCTCTGAACCTGACTTAGGGTCCTGAACTCCAGTGGGGAGTTCAGCACCAAGCACCACTCAGGCATAGCCTGTGGCAGAGCCCTGTTTCTTGTGGTGCGCTGGGCTGACAAAGCCAGGCAACCTCAGAGCCAGCTCCAGGCACTTTGCTGTGAGCTGTTCTGCTTTGTGTGGATGTGCAATCAGTCAGAGGGGGAAGAAGAAAAGGGTTTTGTTTTGTCCTTTTCTTTGAACAAATGCGTGTGCATCATACAAAGCTTAGGAATTCCTACAGGATCAGACCTCCTCTGATGTCTTGAAGAAATTTAACTGAAAGATTCTGACATGAAAACCTGTAACTTTATAGAAAATGACAACTGATGGCTGGGAAGCCCGGAGGCTGGGTAAATAATGGCCATGGGGAGGCTGTGCTGGGAGGAATATTGCTACATATGGTTTCATCTCTAAAGCCATTTTATTTCATGTGGGAGGAGATAAAAGAAAAAAATAACCCCATGTTATATCTGTTGCTCATATCACCTAATGCAATGATGAAAGGTGTTGCAGTGATGACAGTTGTATGTAAACTCCTGTGAATACAATATAATAGAATCTAAAATAGAGACAATACAAACACTTGATGAGTTTTATCGACTAATATTTGTGTGGAAAGAAAGAATATAAATGAAATTTTGTAATGGTATTCATTTCCATAAGCTCTAAAAGGCTACAAATGGAACACTAGCAAAAAACATAAGAAAACGAAACAGAATAAAAAAACCACCCTGCAAAAATCATTGACTTAAACCTTCCACAATCATCACTGGACTTGTGAATTTAGTGCTTAATTAAATTAATTTGATTTTTTTCTACTTACATGTGAAAGCCACTAGTTAACAGGAGGCTGACAAGCATTTTCTCTGTTTCTATCAGGTGCTGAAACTAATCTGAACTTGAGAAGCAGGGAAGATCCAAATACATCAGATACTGGATCAGAAACGCAGGATAAAAATGCAAATAACCATGGAACTCAGTCATCTAATCCACTGTCCAGTTTGGTGACTGCTGAAAATGGAAATTCAGTATCAAATGGTAAGCAGTTTTTAATCCCAAAGCTCTTCTAACATAAAATTGCTGAAATGTTTGCTTGAATGAGCTTTTTAAGATATACTCGGGCTGGAATCTTCTGAGTTGTGAAATATCTGTGTTTCTGAAACTGGCTTAACTTGGTATGTGTGAACTGATAAGCCCCTCTCCAATAAAAGCTGAATGTGAAGAAAGTAAAACAGCTTGTCTTGAGGAATTTGTAATTAGTTCAGCTCCAAGTCTATAAGCAGTCTAAGGCATGGAGGACTTAGATTTGAGATTCTGATCCTATAATCGATATAAATGGGATAGAAAATGGAAAATCGGGATCTCCCTTTGTTATAGGTGTCTTACTAGTGAATGATAAATTGTTTATCATTGCAATACAAAATGGTGCAAGAGTAGTGACAGAAAGAATGAAAACTTTCAAGGTCTTATAAGCATAAATCCTAAGGAAATAACACTCCTGTGAGTTCAGATTTTTAATAAAAAATTAAAATTTTTCATTTTTTATAACGTATTGCTCTTCTTTTTTAGTTTATTTTTAGCATTAGGAGTAACACTTTTCTACAGCTCTGTACTATCAAACTATGACCTTTCCACCACAAATCTTCCATGCTTATCAGAGTTCTTAGTCTGAAAGAAAGAGCATTTGCCATTTCTTGGACAAACACATAGAGTAATTAGAAAGCCTGTAATAACCTTTGGCATCATAATGCTGAAAGTTGTGATCCTACATCATCCAAAACAACAGATCCTTTTGTGGGAGACTCTCAAAACACTGCAGGTAAAAGTTACTGAAATTTGTTGTCATTCTCAACTAGCACCTAATAGGATATAGAGAAATATAGTCACTATAGTAACTGACTGAGATGACCTAACTCTTGGTTAGCAAAGGGGAGATATTACCCAGCTATCTGACAGTTCTGTACGCCCAGTGGAGTGTGTTGTAGAGGTGCTAACTCTGTGTAACCCAAGTGAAAATTAGAGTAGTTATTACATAGATAAGACACGCACTTTGCACTGTACTCTTCATGCAGCTCTTGGCACTTTACTGTCCCTTGAAGGAACCCTCCCTGGTTATTCCTCTTCATTTACATCTGAAGTCCACTGCTTGTGTATGGAGATCCATGTGAATGGACTCCTATATAGTTTATGCAGATTGGCATCAGAGTAACTGTAAGAGCCTGTCTGTTTCACCAAAACCTCCATGCATTATTCAGGTAACGGGATTAGTCCTAATTCCAGCTGTCAAGAAGGCAGCCAGTTCTTCTGCTTGAACAGGTCACCTGTGGGCTGCAGTCTGCTACACAGCCTCTTGAAACTTGCTACCAGATCTAAGCTCATCAGGCAAGAAGCCATGGAATGGGAGAGGTATCATAGCAGACCTGACATCATAACCTGACAGCAAAGAGGCATGTCACCGTGACACGGGCTACATGCTACTGAGAACAGAGCCCTACATCTCGCCTTTCCTGGTGATGCCTGTTTCACAGGCATATATCTGTCATATATCATCTACATATATGTCTACCAGTTTATCAAGTGGAGTTGATCAGTAAATGCAGCCTGTGTGTGAATGCAGAAACATGAAGGTTTGAGGATTGATGAATGACCATGGTTGCAAAGACCCAGAGACTCTGTGGTGGTGTTGTTTTTTTCAAATATGGATGTTGGAGGCCAGGAGGTTCAGAGTCTCTAGTTGCATGGTAGCAGAGCCTATGAGACCAGAGGTTCTCTGGAGCCACAGAACCACGTCTATAGGTCCAGTGATTTACATCTCAATATTTGAGATACAATTTATTTATCTGTAGGATTCTAAGAGGAGTATCTGAGAATAGGGAAGAAATGGGGAACAGAAAGTACAGGAAGAAGGTCAGAGATTCGGTGTGGGATCTTCCTTTGAAGCTATATAGAAAAGGCATTACAGGGAATAAGTGGGTGAAGGATTGAGTTTCTAGTTTGAATGCCTAGGACAAGGCTGCATTCTTGATTATGTGGAAAAACAGCATGTGTTTCTTTTTTTTCACTTCTGCAGTTAGAGGTTATTGATTGACTCATATTCCTTACTGTCATTTTCACCACCACATATAATTGCAGCAATTTTACCAAAGCATGATTTTGCCAAAAAAAATGCCAAATTAGACTTACTTTTGGTAACCTGAGAATAGTTGCAGGAAAGCTGAATCCAAATGTTGTGTAGTTTGTGCTCAGGCTGAACCCCTGATTAACTTAGGTTTTTGTAATTCTGCCCCTGGCCCTGCTAAACTGATGATTTCAACCTTGGGCTGAATTAAGCAAGGTCTTATTCAATGCACAGCTGTGGTATCCTAATATTTACTTAGGTGTACATAAAGGAAAGCTCTTGGAATGTAATCAACTACTTCATTTATCTTTCCAAACTCTACCAAGCCTTTGCTTGCCATGTCTGTGACAATGCGCTGTTGCTGTACATGGAAACTTTACTGATTTGATAAGACCTCTTATCAAACTGCTTTTTACAGAAATAAACATAAAGTCATTGATAACTTGATTCTTACTCAAGGCTGTCATGGATGGTAGATCCTAAAATGTATTATTATAGTGTAAAAGCAATAACTTTTTCATAACATGCGGTCTGGCCTAGGAAAGTATTTTTATTCATTTCTGGTGCTCTAAAATTGTGCAAATATTTTACATTCTACCTTTTATTTGAATTAAATGAATAACACCTTCCCACCCCAGCCAGCAATAAGCGTCACTCTAAGATCACTGTGCAGAGGTGTTTGTTTCTCTTGACTACAGAGGGAGACTACCTGGCTCGTTTACACTGGATGACTGCTTGTTACACAGCTAAATTTTGGGCAGCTAATTCCCACATCAAGAGTATACAATAAGTACAAGAATTACGAAAAAAAAGTTCTGTACTGAGGAGATGAAGTTGCAAGTCCTGGACCTAATATTGACTTCCTGTGTGACATAGAGATATTATTTGAGAGCAGACCACAGGCTTGGTTTTTGTTCCCTTTGCATTATTTCTGCGATGAAAAGGAGCCAGGGAAAGAGGAGCCAGGGATTTCCACATTGCAGAAGGAATCCCTGGCCAGTGTATAGATAATGTGTTATTTGTAGACTCTTCCTTGCTCCTTCTTGTAAACCAGCATGCTATGATGCTATTCATACTTAGTAAACAATAATCGTTCCAGTTTCAGTGAGCATGGAAATAGTAAATATCCAGGCAAATGTGTAACTTCATGTCGAGGTCTTTTGAATCTTATGCTGAAATCAGCCAATGCAGAAATCTCAGGTTATAAATGAGTATTTTTCTGTTTTAGGTTTACCAGAGGAAAATGAATATTCCAGACTGTCTGCCAGCACTACGGCAGGCTCATCAATTCAAAGACACAGGGAGAGCCACACTAGTCAGGTAAATATTTAATTGATGGTTTCTAGAATCAGTTAAAAGAATCATAGTAGCTGCATGTTGAAAGCTATCTTGATTCAAATTTGTGTGTTGGCATTGAAAAATGCAGATTTCTTTTACAGGTTTGTATTGAGCTAAGGACAATAATCAATTTACTGTTAACTGTTTTTTGCCAGAAGAGTGATCATCCTGAAAGGTTCTCATAGTAGAGTTCAAAGTTTATGAAACATACTGTTGCTGTTTGTGAGGATGCTGTTTTTAGGCAGGAAATATGTCTCTTAACCCTGAGAGGACAAAGATGTTATCTGTCTGAAGATATTCATTCATACCAGAAATAGTTGCACGATAATGAACCTCATAGGAATAAATGCATAATTATGTCATTCTTTTGTATACAAAAGCAAAGTCTTTACAATTGTTATATAAATATCAATAATTAATAAAATCAAAATATCTATCAATTAAAACAGCAATAAGTACTAATGTAGTTTGAAGCTTGCACTGGTTCTCTTAAAATTTCTATTTAGTTAATGTAATTTTAAAATTACAACATACAATTAAGTTTGATGGGCATTAAGTGAACAAAAAGGAATAAAATTTGTCATAATATATTCTCTTCATTCTTTTCTTCAGCATTTTATATATAATATGAACCACTTTACTTTCAAAGTAGCCAATTCAAGCATGAAGGCATTCAAAAATTTTATTATTGTATTATATTATTTCACTTAAATGGCATTAGTGTATTCTGCTGTTGTCATTATGTCTTCAGTCCACTTTTCTAAAAAGGTAGTCCCAAGCAATTTTTTTTTATTTGAGATGACTCTAAGAAGTTTACAGTAAAGCTAAATATTGTCCAAAGAGGAAACAAATTGGAGCTGAGATGCCTTTTCACAACAGAAACCTGTCATTAAATAATTGTACAATTTCCAAACTATTTTACCAGAAGGTAGGGAAAGTGCTTTATCACATTTAAAAGCTACTTGTTCTCTGTAGGGGGTAGCTGACATTTCTTAACAACAAAATACTGGCCCTAATCAAGTTGAACAAATATTTGGTCATTGACTCCAGAAGGAGTGAGATTCAACCTTCAAAATTATACTCAGTCTTAATTTAACTTTGAAAAACAATAGATTTCAACTCAGTAAATTTGTGAGCAAACTAGTACAAAACTTTTCACTTTTTGTTTTTCTTCCCTGCTGTCAAAAGCACGTAACTACAATGCCTATTCTGAGTTGAAAGATTATGCCAAGGCAGCACTCAGCACTACACTTAATCTCTTCAGACACATAAGTAAGGCCAGCCAGAGTTGCCCTGGCATACATAGAAACTTATCCAGCTTGCACATAGTAACAATTTTTTTTCCATCACCATACCTTTCAGACTCTCAAAAATGGATTTTGGCTGTGTTGTGAAAAAATACTTACAGGTCTGCTGTCTCCAGATCAGTATACTGGATGAGGATATGGGATTATGAAGATGACTAGAGGCAGTGTATTCAGTTGGCTCTGTTACATTTTTAATGGTGAACCAAATACTTATTAGGTATGAGAGTGGCCAAAGAGCCCTTTCTAGTAAATGAAAGGGCTGACACTGCTGCAGTTTTAAACCTCACACAGTGAGATGCTTTTGTCCTGAAGCACCTTACAACTCTGTTGCTAATCAGCTTGCCTAGGATCATGTTTAAATTGCTAAATCAGTGCAGTACAAGGAGAGTTAGATGAACTTGGTATAGGGGAGCATTATCTTCTTCTTATCTTTGCAGATAGAAACTGTGAAGTTCGTAGTAAGTACTAATTAGTAATTTAAGAATTTTTAGAATCTGTAGTAATTTACATGTTTTATTTTAGAAGCAAGTTGTTAACCATTTACAAACTTGTATTTTTATTTTTCCAAAAGTACTTGCCAAAACCTGAATACAATTTCATTTTAGTATTTTGAAATGCCACTTTTCAGTAAATAGTTGCTTTGCCAAAATATTTCACACATTTTTAAAATAGATTACATGCAATGCACTCAGAATTACATGCAGAGACAATCCTTAAATGCAATCTCAGAAAGAACTGCGACAAGTTTAGAGAAGAAATCTGCAGTTCTGTGATTTTTGATACAATTGGTTTAATGAATAAACATCTTCCAAAATGGTGTTGCCAAAAGAAAAAGAAAAAAACCTTCTTTCCATAAAAAGAAAAAAAAGATCTTAAAAAAGTCTGTGCTCACAGGGCTGAGAATTCTTACTGTGAAAAGCTTTCCTCACCATTTCCAAAACATGGCATATATTTGAAAATGATTGGGTTTAATTACAGTTGACATTTCTTAGCATGCTGCTAGTGACTCTAACAGCATACAAGCCTATTGTAAAAGTCTTTACCAGGCTTCAGTGCAGTAACCTTATCACTTTAAGTAATTCTTGCACAGATGTATGAAATAGGACATATTATTTCACAGTTCTGTAAATGTACTGATTGACTAATTGCTCCAAAGAGACAAACTTAGACTGGGTCCTTGGATTTCTTGGCAGACACTGTCACTTTAGCTAAAGGAAACTAGTCCATTAGCTTTCAGGGGCTTCAGTATTTATGGGGTTTTTTTAATATCTCCCTGCTAGTTCTTTGCTGAAGTGACAGGAAATATTTTCATTTTTGTCACAGGATCTCAAGGCTCATATACATTCAACTAAAGTTTAGGCATTGTGGCTTACAGTACCATCATGTCGTCACATCAGGTGCTAATTACTTGCATCACTGCCTGATTGCAGTCCTGCACACTGCAAACCTACACACTTCAGAGATAAATTCTTCAGCTCGATATCTGTCAAATGCAGCAGAAGGATCAATCTTTTAACAAACACTTTTGAAAGTAATTTTGAAAATAATTTCAAAATATCCTGCAGATGTGAACTCAGAATCTTAACTGATCATCTCTAAAGTGAAGTCTGCT